TCGAGCAGCGGAAGCCATAGCCAGGCGGCGTCGTTTCCTTCAACCAGGTTGAATATGTGGAGATCGGCCATGGCGAACTCGATCGTACGAATCGGCGGCGTGGAAGGAGAGTTGGTGAAACGAGCATTGACAACTCTGATTCGACCTTCTTCACACCAGCAGAGGAGGAGAGCGTCATTTCAACCTAGATCTAGTCGGCTCTCGGTCATGTCCAAAGCGGACGATGCTTGAAATCGCAGCAGAAGGTACGGTGATGTCTAAAACTTTACGATCTCAGGTTCGATGAAGACCATCGGTTTGTGAACGTTTCTGGTTAAGATTTATTGCGAAAAAATACAGCACGCGTAGTTCATATTCTTCAAGGCGGTACCGGAGGTGAAGTCTAGTAGATTTACAATTCAGATCGTGTTTGTTGTTTGCTGAGTTTGTGATTCGTGATGAGTTCAGCTCATGATTTCGAAGCGCGGGGGACTGAATCTGCTCGCCGAGTTTTGTTCGCATAGAGAAGGTTCTCGAAATGCCTCACTGTGACAGAGGATCGAAGAAGCTAAACCCAACGATTTTACACCCTTTGTACATATACATCATTTGCTGTGGAAGGAGAATTTCGGACATTTTTATTTTGAATTTGGACAAAACGAAAAGAAAAATAAAAAGATGATAATTCGAAGATTAATTTCAAGACGAAGTAATCTGTAACTGCCATCAATTTGCAATCGGTTCATAACGCCGTTGGATGGGAACTGTGTCCCGTTCAAATCCGTCGTGTGCAGCGTTGGGATTCCGTCTGTGCCGTCGTCGGCTCCGTTCGTCGTGATTCTCGTCCCCGTCGTTTCACGTGATCCGTTTACTTCCGTCCCGTTCATTCCGGGTCCAGGTATTTTTTTTAATTTATTTTCCATCCGTATCAGTATATTTATTTATTTATTTATTTATTTTGGTGCAGAGTGCAGGACGTGCCGCCTGGTGATTATTATGCCGTCATGGTTCTTTGGCTGAGTTTCTTTGAATTCTGAGATGAAATCTGAAACCCATGAAACTTTGACCTATGACTTTCTCGCCGGTTGAAGATGAAGATTAGACGTTAACTGTGACCGACTTACTGGGCCCGGGTCGGGCCCATTGGACCTTATTCCTCTGAGGGGACTTTTAGAAATAAATAAATTAATTAGGATAAAATTATAAATCAAAGAAAAACAGAAAAGAAAGTTGATGGTGATTAAGGGAAGCTCGAAGAAGGAAAGCCTGAATAAATTTGACAGTACAGAAATAGGGTGGAAAATAATTAAGCGTGGAGGAGATAAAAAGAGAAACTAACCAAAGGGGAAACCATAATAAGGAATTTTTTAAAAAAATATAAATAATAGGAATTAAAAAAAGGAAAAAATGGGACCATTTTGCGCTGGATAATGGATATGAGTGTGATGGATGGTTGAACGGACAAAATAGAAATGGTGGGGTACACTTAAATATGGGAAATGAGTGGGACCCACCCAACTACAAGGCGGTGCCCCCAAGATTCTTGTGACCCTAATGGGAGCAACTTTGTGGATCTGCTCAAAATTTTATTGTTAAAAAAATATTCTTTTATTTTCATTTTAAGAGAGAATTTTGTAGATACATATATTTTATATATATTTATGATATGCTGTTTGGAGTTGGGTTTGGTAAAACTAACATAAACCCATTGAACCTGGAGTTGACATACGAGGACATTGAAGGTGAAGTATAGGATCCTTACATAAAGGCTTGAAAAATAAATACTACTTCCAAAATTAACGAATTATTTGTTATAACTCTAATGGAGGATATGTTATGGGGCAAATGAACAATATTCGCTAACGGTTAGTTTGGGCTTTACCATTCGTATTAGAGCTAGACACCAGTGTGTGAATGAGGATGTTGGGTCCTTGAGGTGGATTGTGACATCTCGCATCGATCCACATTGGTTGTAAGGGGAATGAAGAGTCGTTGGAGGTGGATTGTGATATCTCACATCGGTCTTGAGAGGAGAATGAAACATTTATGGGCAAAATCTCGAGACTAACGACGGTTCGCAGTGGGCAAAATTGACAATATTTGTTATGACGAGGTTGGACTCATGAGGGTGGATTGTTAGATCACACCTTGGTTGGAGAGAGAAGCGAAAATTTTATTATAGTGATGTAAAATTGGGAATCATACGATACATAACACGTCAAAACAAATTTTACAATATTTTATTTTGAGATGATAAATGTAAGGCAGTAATGTACGTATTTGAAAACAAGTAGGGCAGCATAATTGAGTGGAAAAAAAGGGAATGACGTGGAAAAGAAAGGAAAAATAATAGCTAAATAATAATTGAAGAATAGCATGCGTTAGTTTGTATACAATGTGCGGCATTTCAATTCCAAATCAACGCGCTTTAGCTGAATTTCCATCCAGCTGGCATTTTTAAAAAACAATGTAAAAAGATAATAAAAGCACTTAAATCATCTCCAGCTGTCCCCTTTCTCTTTTATGGAATTAGGTTTACAACTTACCACAACCGTTTCGTGTAAGCTCGATTATACATATCTTTTTGCAACTCAATTTCGTCAAAAATAAATAAATGCCAAAAAATAAATAATTTTCTAACTATTTTTATTTATAAATAAATATAACAACCATACTTTTTAAATTTCATAAATATTTTTCGGTGATTTTTAATTTTCTAACTATTTTTATTATTATTTTTTAATTCAAAGATATTATTGAAATATTTAGAAATTTATATATAATTTATTAATTTAATTTTATAATTAATAAGTTCAAGTCTAAGTTTCATATACTTTAAATAAGTCAAAAGTAAAAATTAAAGAATCTATTAAATACACAATTTATAGAATTAATACATTTAATATTACGATATATTTAAAAAACTGATGAACCTAACCCCTCTAAATAATTTAATGCTTTTTTAAAAGAGTAAATAATTAAATACGTCTATTTTTCTCTTTTCTTTTTACCATAACTCACGAAAACCGACTCTAATTATTAAATAATTAAATTAGGTCACCCAACTCCTAAACCAAATTTATTTTAAAATTATATGAAAAAAGTGGATTAGAAATAATATTTATTTAATTTAATTCGTGGGCTGGGCCGAATGTTATATTCGTTAGGTCCAACAATTTCTGGCCCACAACTAATTATTGGTTATTTTATTACTTTTGCTAATTTATTTCAAGACACGAGATGTCGATTTTACGTGCGAGGTGAATATGTCTGTTCGAGAGTCCATATTGGGAAACATATTTTAAAGGAAATTTGATTGTCGTAAAAATAAATAAGAAATTTTTAAAAATTGAGAGTCAATTCATCTTGCCTTGTGAACATCTAAAGCGATTTTTAAAAACGTCGACAAAATATGCAATACTATAATATCTTAATTTTAATTACAAATTTATAAAATTAAATGTTTAAGATTAAAAAGTGTCACATGTTTAGTTGTATTATTCTTTAAATTAATAAATTCTCTTAATAAGTGCGCAGACAAGCTACGGCAAATGAGGATCTTATTCCATTTAAATTATAAAATATTATTCCCATTCTCCCACGTGTCTTGGGACAGCCATTAAACTACCACAAAATTTTAAATTATATAAAAACACTTATTATTATTTTAAAATAACGTTTATTTTCCCTTTTATATTTTCTTATATTTCCTACGACATAGTTAACTTTCATTTATTTTAAGTCTCTCTTAATTGTTCTTTTATCTATATATGGTTTTGGTTCATTCACGTATTTACTAGGCATCATATCTTACTTTAAATAATAAATATTATTTTTATTTTACAAAAATTAATTTTAATATTTATTTAAAGTAAATGAAATGAAATGATTAAATAATAAAGCGAATAAAATATTATTCTAACTAAATTATATTCTTTTTAAAAACCAACTGTAAAACATAGCATAAAGTAAGGAAAATCCCGACTCATGATCTTTCAAGAATCATTATATTTTCGCTAAAGAAAAATGGTGATATTCAATACTTAAATCAAAATCAGCTACTTTTTTATTAGTGTGTAAATTAAATTCAATAAAATGCTTCTTATTTGTTGAATTAAAAATAGTTTATTTATTTATTGTTACAAAAACAAATGTTGTGTTCATTGAGCAATTATTTAACCAATAACTTAGGTAATAATTTGCTTTATATATATATATATTTATTTATTTATTTATTGTAAAAGAAGATTGACTTGTTGAGTAGTTCCAGGTTGGAAACTCCAATCATGGGCCAACCCGACCCGTGTATGTAGCTGTTTTTAATATTAAGAAAAAGTTAAATTTATCAAGTTTTAAAAATTAAAAGGCCTAATGTTTTATTAAAAAAATGTATTAAAATTTAAAATTTTAATTCTAGAAATTAGATTATCCACCCAATATAAATATATACACTTTACGTTGACGATTAATTAAAAATTGAAGAGATAATTATATATTTTTTAATTAACATGTGGAATAAATAAAGCATAATCTATCCCCATAACTAATAAATTAATAAATAAATAAAAATAAAATATAATTTTATCAATATATTTTGGGTTTTTGGTATATGTAATTTAGTTGTCAAATTTTATTTTTTTGTATTTTAATAGTTATTGTATTTATTTAATTTACTACTAATAAAATTAATAAGTATTTCGAAAATAATTTAATGAAATGGGAAGAAAAAATTTAATAAAGAATGGAATTTATTGAAAAATAATAATAAATTAATTTTAAAACTATTTTTCAGATTTACAATAAGTAATAAAAATGTAATTAAAAAACGAAAATAGTATTAATTTTATTTTATTTTTCTTATTTCCAATTTTATTGGGTCAGTCAACGTATGTTTGTACGCGCGCGTGTTTTGGCGCGTTCATGTAAGTTATGTGTACGAAGAAGGAAAGTTCCGATACGCGCGGAACGACAATTTGGGATTGACAGGATCATTTGAAAAGTTGACCTGACATTCCCGTAACCCTAGAAGAATAGCCATTTTCTCTCAAAGGCTCCTTTTCTTGTCCTTTCCTTGCTGGCTTCCTCCTCCTCTCCCCTACTGTTCCTGAAATTATCGGCTCACCAATTGGATATCGATTGGCCCCAATTGATTTCCCATTTCGTTTCGTTTTCGAATCCGAATTTTCAAGTCCGGAGCAGTCGAGAGGAAGCCAGATTGATAGAACGGTTCTTCGTTTGCATTTGTTGTTCGTCATGTAAGATTTGAATGAGTTTCGTAATTTCGATCTTGAAGTTGTGAGACGTGTTTGATTGAGATTTCCATTTCTTAATTCAACTTTTCTTCTTGTTTTCTCTGGCTCTCTGCAGTTTGTAAGCTCTTGATTTGTGTTCTGTATTCGACTAATTTGAAATTTCCAGGCACGTATTTCGATGCAGTTTTTTGTGGTTTGAGGATTAGAGAGGAAGAGGAGCGAGGATTTGATTTGAATATTGAACCAATAACTTTGTGATTTTTTGAGTTATTTCAATGGGGAAGCCTACGGGAAAGAAGAAGGAAAATGTTGGCGAGAAGCCTGGAAATGCTAATTCGAAGCCGGCTCGGCCGTCCGAGCGGAACACGAAAGCGTTCGATGAAGACACGGCGATCTTCATAAACATGTCTCAAGAGCTGAAGGAGGAAGGCAATCGGCTATTCCAGAAGCGAGATCATGAAGGCGCGATGTTGAAATATGAGAAAGCTCTGAAGCTTTTGCCGAGAAATCACATCGATGTTGCTCATCTCCATAGCAACATGGCTACCTGTTATATGCAGTTAGGGTTGGGTGAGTATCCGCGGGCGATTAACGAGTGCAATTTGGCGTTGGAGGCTCATCCGAGGTATAGCAAGGCGCTGCTGAAGAGAGCAAGGTGTTACGAGGCTTTGAATCGGTTTGATTTGGCATTGCAAGATGTGAATACCGTTTTGAGCTTAGAGCCTAACAATCTCTCTGCGTTGGAGGTTTTGGATAGTGTCAAGAACACAATGAAGGAAAAAGGCGTCGATATCGACGATAAAGAAATCGGTCTGGCCAGCGTGAAGCTGCGCCCCACAGAGCGTCTGCAAAAGGTTGTTAGAGAGAAACTAAGGAAGAAGAATAAGAAAGTTGAAGCAAAGACAGATGATAAGCTGGTTGTGGAGGAGAAGGCTGATCAGTTGGTTCATGTTGAACAGGTTGAACAGGTTGATCAAGTTGAAGATAAGGAAGTTACAAAAGTTACCATTGAGGAAGACAAATTGTTCGTTCAACCGATCGAGGATAAACCGGTGTCGAAGACGGTGAAGTTGGTATTTGGAGAAGACATAAGATGGGCGCAGTTACCTACAAACTGCAGCCTGCAATTGGTGAGCCAGATTGTTCGAGACAGATTTCCAAGCTTGAAGGGTGTTCTTGTGAAGTACAGAGATCAAGAGGGTGATTTTGTTACAATTACCACAACAGAGGAGTTGAGGTTGGTTGAATCATCATGTCAGCTGCAGGCTTCACTTAGACTGTATATTACAGAGGTTAGTCCTGATCAGGAACCCATCTACAAGGAAATTGATAATGGTGAGAGGCATCCAAAGCTTGATAAAAGAAGAAGTACAGTGGTGGTGAATGAAAAAGAGGTTACAAGGGGTATGACTACGGTTGAGGATTGGATAGTTCAGTTTGCGCGATTGTTCAAGAACCATGTTGGGGTCGATGCCGATTCATACTTGGATCTTCATGAGCTGGGCATGAAACTGTACTCGGAAGCGATGGAGGACACCGTAACAGGAGACAGTGCACAGGAGCTTTTTGAAATTGCTGCAGAAAAGTTTCAAGAAATGGCAGCTCTGGCATTCTTAAACTGGGGCAATGTTCACATGTCCAGGGCAAGGAAGCAGGTTTGTTTCCCTGAAGACGGTTCGAGGGAAACGTTACTTCTTCGGATTAAGGACGCATATGAATGGGCACGAAAAGAATACAAGAAAGCTGAAATGAGATACGAAGAAGCTCTTAGTGTAAAACCAGATTTCTATGAAGGTTTCCTTGCACTTGGGCAGCAGCAGTTTGAGCAAGCAAAGCTTTGCTGGTATTATGCAATTGCTAGCGGTAGCCAAATCGGTTTGCTATCGAGCTTTTCGTCGGAGGTGTTACAGCTTTATAACAAGGCTGAGGACAGCATGGAGAAGGGCATGTTGATGTGGGAAGAAATGGAGGAACAACGTCTGAATGGTCTCTCCAAAAGTGAAAAATACAGATCTGAATTGAAAAAAATTGGATTGGAAAGCCTGTTTAGTGAGATTCCTGCTGATGAAGCTGCAGAGCTGGCTTCAAACATGAGATCTCAGATATATCTTTTATGGGGTACCTTATTGTACGAGCGTTCTGTCGTGGAGTATAAGATCGAACTTCCGACATGGGAGGAATGTTTGGAGGTATCAGTCGAGAAGTTCGAACTTGCAGGTGCTTCCCAAACAGATATTGCTGTTATGATCAAGAATCATTGTTCCAATGAAACTGCACTGGAAGGTAAACTACTAGCCAGCCTCTTTACTTCTTTTCTTTTCACAATGTTTTGTGTTATTAATGGAGAGTATCTTGCAGGGTTCGTCTTCAAAATCGACGAGATCGTTCAGGCGTGGAACGAAATGTACGACGCCAAAAGGTGGCAGTTTGGTGTTCCATCTTTCCGCCTCGAGCCTTTGTTTCGACGCCGGGCTCCTAAACTTCACTTCACTTTGGAGCATTTTTGAGAGTTTTGTTGTTGATGGATGGGGGCATTCTTTTTAGAGGCATTTAAGCAAAATTTCAGATCTTTTTGCATCAATTTTTCTGGTGTTCTGCTTCCCTCATACACAAAAGGTAAAAGAGCCTCTTAGTTATAAGCTTTCCATACGAGTTAACCTTATAGAACTTCTATTCTTATATGATAGCTAGTTAATAATACAATCTATATGAACTTCAATTCTTGGACCTCCTTCAGAGTTTTAGAGCGAAGAACGCCGTCTCAGTTTCTCCGAAACTCGATCCTTGCAACTTTCAACAGCATGTTTCGTGTTTTCCTTTCGATTAAACTTACTCATGTTGTGTTCTTTCTTTTTCTGGTTGCAGCATTTTACACCAGCCGTTACCGTTTCAATTCAATTCGTCGTTTGCTTGGTCAGAGTGTAAGTTTGTTTATACTATGATTCTTTCTTTCATTCAAGAGAAGATTGGCGATTCAAGAACAAAGATATAGTTATATAGATTTATTCATTATTCATCAATGATTTTATAGGGTGGAGGAAGAAAATAAATTCATTTTCAATTCGATTTATGAGATTGAATAGAGAGAATTTATTGTGTTGTGAATTTTGAAGAGCTGTTTGGTTATGTTGTTATAGTGATTCTCAAATTGATTGTTTTGGAATTTGAAGATTGATGGGATGAATTATTATAGAATTACACCCAATTATTTTTGTTACATTCCTCTCTTAATTTTCTCTATATAAGTATATATATATATATATATATATGTTTGTTAGATCTTCTTCTACGATTAGCCCTTAAAATATTACTGATATTTATAGCAAATCTATCAATTTTATAATTTGAATCTTCAAAATTTGACATCTGTATATTATAATCTTATATTTTAAGATCAATTAATTAATTATTGCGGAAGTTCAAATTTCTATTTTTTAATTGCAAAATAAAATAAAAAAAAAAAAAGAAAAAAAAAGACACGGGGAGTCATTTTCCCTATCGATGCGATTACCTGTTATACTCGAACGGGATAATGTTGGCCATTACCCAAACACCAGTCTTTTAGTGGGCCCCACATAAGTTAGTTTCATAAAAACCAATAAGAACCCAACACGTGTTAGGTTGTTGGCGGGAGCGCCAAAAGCATTTCCCTGTTTTTATTTTATACGCTGCATATATGCTCCGCCTTCGTCTTTTTCTCTTGTCGAATCAAACGCTTTGGAAAAACCTTTCCCGATCTATCATCGTCTCGAAGAAAGTGATCACTGATTCTTGTTCGAAAAGACTTGCTCGGATCATCCTCGATCAATGTTCGCTGATTCTCTCTGTTTCTCTGCGGTTTATCGATGCCTTACGGCTTGCGGTACGATTCTTCTTCGTGTACATTGCTGGAATACGATCCTCGATCTATGTAATTACCTATTCGATGTCGTTTTACATTTAGGAATCCGTTTTTGGAATTTCTGAAATTGTTTATTGTGTTCTACTCTCAATGCTTCTTCTTCTTCTCTATATTTTTGTTTGTTTTTGATACTCGCATTGCTTTTCTAGTTAGACATTGTTGTCATTTACAGTACAGTGTTGAAGGATCCTCTACGGTGTCGGAGTTTCCGGCGGTTGAAATAGGTTCTCGTTTGTTTTTTCTTCCTCGCTATTTATGGAGTCTATTTTCGTTTTCTTGATTAGGACTGTGTTCCGGATCGAGGAATCTGTAATACCAGAATGTGACTACCTATTCGATGTCATTTTACATTTAGGAATCCGTTTTTGGAATTTCTAAAATTGTTGACTGTGTTCTACTCTCAATGCTTCTTCTTCTCTATATTTTTGTTTGTTTTTGGTGCTTGATGCTTGAATCGGTAGGTTTTGCTTTACTGAGGTGGAAGAATGGTTTTAGAAGTTTTAAGTGATGGATTACTACTCGCATGCTTTTCTAGTTAGACATTGTTGTCATATGCAGTACAGTGTTGAAGGATCCTCTACGGTGTCGGAGTTTCCGGCAGTTGATATAAGTTCACGTTTGTTTTTTCTTCCTCGCTATTTATGGCGTCTATTTTCGTCTTCTTGATTCGGACTGTGTTCCGGATCGACGAATCCGTAATACCAGAATGTGCATGACTGAGAATGATGATTGATAGGCTCCTTCGTATTTGTTTTATGGATAATGTGTTTTCCTTTAGGTCTTGAGTAGTGTCTTGTTCGTATGAAGTTTCTCCCTGTGAATTAGTTGTGGCACTGGAGCTTGGATGCCTCTATTGCCCTCTGACTGCTTTACGTTGATCTGACCCTGTTTGGTCATGCAGTTAGCTCGCTGTGTGTAAAGCTATGGAGAATCTACCGAACTATCAATATGCGTCTTTTTTTTATGGTTGGGAGCTATCATGTTTTGATGTCGTGCATTTCTAATTACAGTCCACGCTGTTTTAATTGACTTTAGATCTCTTTGGTTCTGCTTTGATTTTTGTTAATTTTTCTAAACTCAGATCAATAATTAGGCTGCACGCAAGAAATATTGATCATGTCTTTGAAATATTGCAATTTGGCTGCAAGTAAAACATACAACTATTCAAATATACTACTGGATGATTGGTTGAAATTTGTTTTACTTTAACCACTTTTCATGTTTCAAATTTTAAATGCTTCCCTAGCCTTCTCTTGCATCCTGTCCAGTTTCTGTTTTGTTTTGTCTTACATTCTCTTTTTTTGTTTTTTGTTTTTTAAGAATAATATTTACGTATTACTAGTTAGTAGTATTTTTCCCGACCACCTCTAGATTTTGACAGTTAATATTTTTTAAAAGAAGGAAAAAATCACCCTTCTCTTTGTCTGCTTTTTGTATCACTCTCTTCTAATCAAACTGTAGTTAGTGAGTATTGTTCATTTTTACTATTCATTTTTGTCCATCCAAGTATAGATTATGAATAAGACATCGATTATCATTAACGATTTAATCTATTGTTAAACTTGAAAAATAAGGACTTGAGATTTATATAGGTTAAAAAAATAGTTATTAGTACCTTTGCACTGCAGCATATAACCTCCCGTTGGTGCACGTAAAATGCGGATTTCTTATATTACTCTCTTCTCTCTTCAATTTGGATTGCAAGGTATTCTTATATGCCCTTTTAGATGGACGGAGGTGATACCCGCCTTCCATGTCCGTGTACCAGCGGCGGATCCACATAGAGGTACGTGCCCTCCTTCAACTTCAAGAGAATATATTATTAGTTTACCTTAGCTGATTCTTTAACAAGTTTAATGTTTGGTTTGTTGGAAATTATCCTATTCTACTCTAGAGTACCCCTTACCTGATCCTTGCTCCGATTCCAATCATCAAGACATTTCCATTATTTTTAAGTTTTCGCCTGGCTGCAGTCCCCTCAAATAATTGTTATTTTATATGTTATCTTTTGTTTCAGCTTAGTTTTCATTACAAGTTCTTTGTTTGGTAGTAGAGGCTTAAATGACCTCATCGAGCTTCATTTCAAAATGAGAGAAGTGCAATTTTTTTTTATTAAATTTTAATTTTCTAATTTTGCAGCACGTTTATTTTTATATATTATATTTAAAAAAATATATGAATACTCTCTAAATTTTAGTTGTTTACTATCGTCTTCAAACTTCAGGTTCATACATGCTACATTTTTTTAAAACTCAGATCAAGATTGTTTATAAGGATATTTGGTACAAACATTGGTTCTGGTTCTTTCTTCCGAATTTCAAGAGAACGATCGTTATCTTGTGTTTTACTGTCGTCTAGAACCCAGTGCATCCACTGCCAGAACTTTTTTTTTGAACATTTTAAGACACCCTTTTTCAACCTGTGGACCAGCTCCATCGGTTGAGCACTAATTTGTCTGTCGGTTCTTGAAACAACGCAAATATTTGCTTACACAGACCAATTATGTTGGCATGCATGATTTTATATTACTAGGCCACTCAAAGTTGCTCTTTGGTTCAGGCTTTTGCTCGCTGTGGTTATGGAGGTAGAGAAAAGACCAGAGCATTAATAAGCCAAACAACTTTAAGAAATCAAGTGAGCTTTTGAGATGGACAAAGCTTCTGTTTCCGAACGCATTACTGTTATAGATCATCCGTTATCAATATACTTGTTACCTTTCCGGAATAAAAGAACAGGTATTCATTGAGCAAAACGAATATGCACAATGTGTTTGATGTTGCATGTGGTTCTGTTTATGTCAATAATTTAGAACATGAACTGGCTGATTCAAGTGTGACTGGTGCAGGTCTCAATTCTCTACTTTGGACTCCTCAAACACGAAGTCATTATGAAGAGTGGCTTCTACTTCAACCTTGAAGGTCTTTTGAACAGGCAAACAAAAATGTAACGTGCCTCATGATCGTCGATTCGTATTAATGTCATGAAATCGGGTAAACTTCAACTGTCAACTTTTGCCATTAGAATTTTATTGTCGGTTGTGTGCGAAGTTCTAATAGTGGCAGTTAGTCCAGTTTGATTGTTACTCGAAGAAAAGAAAAAATGAGGAAACTCAATAATGAGTGTTCAAACTGGATAAACCGTCAATATTAGAACTACGAACACAACCCAAAATTATATTCTAATGCCAAAGCTTGAAAGCCGAAGTTTACTTATTCATTTTAAACCATGTATTTCTTTTACCGCAGCTGCAGGAATATATCATGGACTTTTTCTGAACCAAATTTTGATGCTACCAGATTGCTCGGTTCATTCAACATTCGTGTTAAAGGTATATTTCCTTGTGTGAATACTTCACAACTATTATTTTTCCATAGTTTTTGTTTTGGTTCCTAAATTTTTAAACTTGTCAAATAAGTATTTTTAGATAGATGGTTAATTGAAGTATTCAACATTTTCTTAAAGACAACAGAATTACAATATAAATCAGTATACATCAAAGGCCCTACAAAAACATATAATAGAATTTATTAGACACTTTTAAACATTAAAGTTTTATTAGACACAATTAAAAAAAACAAAAATTTAAACTCAACTTTAATTTAACTTACCAAACTTTTTTTTAATTTAAAATTGCAAATAGAAGGATAGATACATGCAAGCAAAATTTGAATAACTGTTGCGAAACATTTGGAATACACTATAAAATAAGCTTCTGGTACATTTCCTTATGTGAATACTACTAACCCGCCGGCCTTGGTGGACGCAACTTTCCTATTACCTCTGGTAAGGTTCACATCCTTTTAAGAAAGATTTTGGAATTCTTTTTTTAACAAAATGTTTTTGGTAAGCATTCGACTAAAAAATAATTATGTTTTCCAAATCTCACATTGAATCTAACTTACCTATGATCAATGTGACTACTACGTTATATTATAGTTTTATGACTACATACTAAACTCCAAATGTTCTATAAACTCCAAATATAATAAAAAAATCACTGTTTTTTCTCTCTTTTCAAAACCAATAAATTTTTTTACAACAGTTACCTAGGATAAAAAAGAATGTTCTCAAAAGTTCTAAATAATGTGCCAAATTATGTAAGAAATGAATGGATGCGAGTACTAAAAAAAATTCCTCGCCTCAAATGTCTCTATATTTGTACCTCCAAAATTTCTTCTTTATAATATGTGCATCTTTTAGGCTAACTAATTTTTAATTGGAGTTGAGACTTTAAATGTCTATTTCTCCCTACTTTTATCCTGATTCTCTAACTTCTTTTTAAAATACATCAAAGTCTTAAATTTCTCCCTTTTTAATAATATTTAAAATTTGTCTACATTATCAACACCATAAAATTAAACTTCACTTGTGGTGCAGGCTACACTTACTCCAATTAACGGCGTGCAGAAAGGAGGGGCTGGTGATATCCTTCTTTTCCTGATTACATCTGTAATCCAAAAAAAATAAAGGCAACAAACAGGAAAAACCTAATTAAAAAGTGGCCAAAAAAGCAATTACAGGATTTTCTTATTTATTCATTACCGATAATCACAATGGTGCAATCACGATTGCCTTTCGAACTCGCGGGAACCTATCTCCCCATCGAGAATATCCTGCCCATAAAATTTAATCGCCTTTTTCAACGGTTCCAAATAACCCTCATCATTCTACTTTTAAACATATATACAACTTTCTTTTCTAGACAGACAGCCTTGTTAAGAATGATGCAAAAGTACACAATACTTATTTATTTTAAATATTATAGTTGTGTATGAAATTACCAAAAAAAGGAGTGATATAATTTACGTATGAGTATGCACAAACCTGCCGCGATAATCTCGTAAAGATCCATTTGTGCCCTTTCATCATCGTTCATGCTCTGCTGCAATCCACATAAACGGATTCAGAATAGGCCTAATATTTAAGAGCCGTGATTCAGAATAAACGGATTCATTGGACAAAGCTAGAATTGTAAAAACCAATATTCTTATTATAAACAATAACTAATTTAATATATAAATCTATTAAATAGAGAGGGAAAGAAAAAGAAAATTTTTCTGAAGAACGTACCTGTTGGGATAAAGCGAAGATTCTTGAAAAGAGTCGGCATAGCTTATCGAGAGATTTATCAGCAAAATTCGGATTGCTAAGAAGAGCATTCTCTGACGTGTAATCAAATACTAAGGCACATATGCTGGCAGCCATCATTATAACAGATGGCTCATGGGCATCCTCTACAACCATGATGAACAATTTAAATTAAAAAAAAGTCAAGAATTTGATAATAAACTGAGGTGTGATACAAAGAAACATACACATACCAGTTGAATTTGCAATTGCTTCCAAAAGGTGAACAAAAGATGATTCCCCACATAGAAGTCCAGCTAGCTCTTTCTACAACGAAGAAGTACAAGTACACCTTAGCAATAAACTAACCAACACAACTTTATACTCTTGTAGATGACTAGATGAATACCTTCAGAAGCACATTCAAGATGGTATCACAAGCCAAGAAGATGGATCCATCATTGTCAACCCATCCACCGTGCTTGTGAATCAAATTTATAAGGCATTTCACAACCTGAATGCAAACCCAAATGCTCAATGATTAAGAACGTAGAACGCTTCAGTGTATGATGAAGCGTCCACAAGGCCATTTATATATAAGTAAATTCGAGATTGCAATTACTTACAGCTGCAAGACCTCCAGAAGAAACCAAAGTTTTACATCCTTCAACGTTCATTGTTATTTGACATAGCATGGGAAGCAAGAAGCACACAGAGTTGAAGGGGCTGTCCGTTGTAAATATCAAAACAAAATCAGGTATTTCATAAATGTATAATGAATATACCATATTGTCAATAACTGGGAGCTGACAAACCTCTGTTCATCTTCTCCTTCAACAGAGAGCATATAGTCCAAGAGCTCCTTAACTTTTTCCGTCCATGCATCGGGGGTTTGTGCGAGAAAGCTGGAATGAGAAAGAATAATGTTGACCAGAGGCAATCTAAGTAAACATAGAACTCTAGTCTAGTTTAGAGAGACCAAATCATAAACGATCCACTGTTCCAAAAATCAGAGTACCCCAGACCGTCAAACACTATCCGTGCATGAAGGAAGCGTGATTCGCACATTTCACAAACACGTTATACTAACTGAATGAAGAAACTTCACGTTTAATGTATTTTGATAGTCCTTGTAAAGGAATATCGTTCATTGTTATAAAGTATACACCTAGATACTCCTCAATTATCAAGCAATTCACTGCAAAGGCACAGGACATTGAAGACATTTCACGTTCTTATGATGTTTATATCTAGAATCGAAAAATATGCAAACCACAATATTAATTGTTCAAAATTCTAATTCTAAGCTTCTAACAAAGTACATATTCATAAAAGAACAGATAAGGAGTGTTTCACTGTATTTAAAAAAACATATACTTTAAGAATGATAGAATAGTTCTTTCAAACTGCGTTCTGTTGTTTTAAATTTGACAACTACTATAAAACTTGGCAGCCGTCTCACCAAAGGATTTAATATTAATATTGAATATCTTACCTCCCAATAACCCGTACCGATGCTAAAATATCATCTCCTTTTCTTTGTCCATGCTCCTGTAGAATCATAAATCAAAATTCTAGATAAGGAACAGTAACGCCATATCTTACCGCAGCTATGAGATTCCCATAATTACCTTTGCATCTTGCAAATATTCTAGCACAACACCAGTAGTCTCATTTAGTCCTCTAAACACTTTCATCAGTGTGTTTTCATCGATAAGATCCCCTACAAATAATTTCAACCAGGTATTCAAGATATTATTTGAGTATGAAATAATTAAAAGGGCAATAACTCGGCATTGCTGAATATATTGGCCGAAGGTCAACATTCAAACAAGACTAATCAAGCCAAAAAAAGCAGTAGCAATATTGAAAAGTTAATAATCCTACCATGTGTGCCCCTGAAATGTCACAGAAAGACCAACTACTTCACAAACACAAGAAGCAACATATATGTCCAAGACTCAATGCTTCATCAACCTTCTTCAAATTTTATGTAATTCTATTAAGATGAATTCAAATTTCCCTTTTACTAGAGCAAACCACTTCGATGCTTTTACGGTATCCAAATTGTACAAAATCTGAATTTACTCGAGAATAATCTAAAATTGGAAACTGTTAAATTTTAACCAAATATAAAAAGCCAATTCATATCGTTGGTAGGGTAAGTCATCGATTTCATCTAACTAAGCATTTATCATCAGAATTAATTAACTATCCGAGTGATTCTATCAAGTAAGCTAAATGGGATAGACTCTTAAACCTACAATTAGAAACATGGAGAATGCCTACGGAATAAGGAAAACCTCAGCAAAAGGATGCCACTGCCCTATATCATCCTGCCCCATCATGGCCCTTACTCTAACTACCGGGCCCCATGCAAAAACAATGAAAAAAAAAACTACCCTTCACATGTCCCCCTATTTTTCACATGCTTACATTCATAAAATTTTGTAATTTGGGGCCTATAAATCTCAATGTCAATAAACGAAATGCAAAACTTAGCAAATAATTGACATCAAATGAGTTATCCACCTTGATCTTCACCGACATTTGATACTAACTTAATTATCTTTTCCACCAAAGAGAAGGCAGTTGCTACATTCCGCTGCTTTACAATGATATCCTCCTTCAAGGAAGAATTCTTGGAAGCTTCATACTTTGCATAGGCCAGTTCATTCAGCATCACAGCAATCTCAACTCTTGACTGCTCCAAGACAAGTATTAGACACCTGAGATCAAGATGGAAGAGAAAAATGAAAAATATAATGAGAAGTTAATAAAGCAACATTACTGGTAGCAATCGCTAAATACCTGTCAGATGGAATAGCATCTTGAACATCAGGTAATTCTATTTCGCCTATCAGCCAACCTTCTCCTCTAATATATACCATAGACTCGGCCAAACTAAGAGCCTGAAGCTTTTCGGCAGGCGCTGAATATTGGACAGCAAAGCAAGAGATTCAATAAGTTAAGTGTCGAACAGATTCTTGTGCACTAGTGACTACGAGGATAACTAAAGTAAAGAGAATATACTTGAAACGTTTTCCTCTAATTTTTCACTTTTCCATTGCAAGATCAAATGAACATCTAAATCTCAATCGATAGAAAAAGAATAATCTCACCATATAAATTTGAATATGTATGATTATCTAAATAAACCCAACGGAATCAGCTTTCTTTTAAAGGAAAATGAGAGGCTTTCCAACATATACTGCATTCGAGCCCTAACATATACTTCATTTTATCTTCACGCCCAAAAGAAGATAGAAGAGGGCTAAAGTGCAAGTATCCTTTCAACTATCCTTAATGTCTCCTTCTTTGCCACCAACTCGCAAACCAAGTTTCACCAGTCTACTAACATAAGATTGCTGCTTTCATAATCAATCAAACCTTTCTTGTGCCTTCCACTAAAATAAACTTGTAGATTGTAAACACCAAAAATAATCAACAAGCACAACACCCAGTAATTTGACTATATGTCAAACACATTATAATCAAGCCAAGTAGAATACTGATAATATGGTATTTTAGAGCCAAATTGATTAACGGTAACATGGAGGGAAAAAATACAGCTACATGTTGATTGCCAGAAAATGGAAAAGAAAGGATAATGTTCAGCTTTGAAGAAAATGCAGCTCAAGATACCTGTACGGTTATGAAGAATAGCTGAAACTCCATTACGCATGTGTTTTGACCAAACATCGGAAGGCACTTGACGAAGGGCATCATAAAGTGGTGTCTGACAATGAAACATCATTGGCAAAACATACAATGCATCAGCTAAACAATAACTGTGATTATGACAGATCCAAGAACTAACAAGACTGAAAATTCTGTAAGCAGTGAAGGATAATTAAAACTAAAAAAGAATGTCTAACTGGATAAATTAACCTACAATTGATGCATTAGTCAAGACTAGGCAGTACGCAGCCTTTTACAGAGGAAAAAACATCCTAACACTTGCAAAAAATTACTAAAGTAATATTTCCTGATGGCACCATTAATTGCCTACCAAATTTGAGGACAGGATGGCAGAAAGCAGGTGAAGTGCTTCAAACTTCATAGCATCGTGGGACACTCCAAATAGCCTCGCAATATCAACAACCTGATTTGATAGCATTTACTCAATTATGGTGGGAAGTAGAATTCTTGGTCTCCCTATAAGAATATATGGTCGAAACGAACCAAAACGATTGAGTTGTCCTATTAGATAGTAAATAAAACAATCTTATAAAATTTAACTCACAATATCAGTTAGTTCAGGCAAACAGTTGATGATGATGATGTCCAGAGAAATCTTACTAATGATCAATTGAACAAGTTGCATGAAAATCTTCATTGGATGGGAACCTGCATACAAAAGCTTATACTGAGATATTTACTGACCATAATTTGAAAACACAGCAAGATTCAGATTAACCACCAACAGCAAGGTAATCAATGAGATTAGACAAA